TCATGATTTGAGTGTTTGTCTCCCTGGAGTTTGAAATTGCTGTATTCTCTTGGACCATGAAAAACCAGATGGAAAGCTGAATTTTATAGTCTCTGTTACATTGGTCAGCAAAAAAAAAAAAAATTCCATGGATTTTGCTGGTAAGTTCAGGAGCTGGGTAAGCTTTTAGAGAAAGGAAGGAGGGGTGCACCCTTTCCCCTCCTTTCAGGCAGCTCTCTCACCTTCCCGTCTGTCTTCATTTCTTAGTGTAGTTATTCCAGGCTTTGAAGGCAACACACAGATCATTCAGATTGGCAATATCTAACTTGATGAGTCCATTTCCTCTTTCTGCTTTGTGCTCGGAACTGTACCAGGCTCTGGGGATTCAGAGGCAAACTAGACAGACAGGATCCCCGCCTCCACAGTGTCTAGGGGGGGAGCGGAGAGTTAAACAAGGAGTTACAATAACGTGGGATGATGGGGCAGCACCAGGCGCCAGGGGAGCACAGAGCTGAGAGACCTAATCTTGTCTAGACAGAGATCTATGTAGGCAGAGGGAACAGCACATGTCAAGGTCCAGAGATGACTGAGGACAGCACGCTGAGTGATGAGAGACAGTGCATGTGGTTGGAATGTGGAGTGCGAGCGGGAGAGACAGTGGGAAGCAAGGGTCTCACGTGAGGCTGTGTCGAGCCAGGTTTGCCTAACAGGGAATTCTTAATTTGAGAAACCCTCTTCTCTGTAAGATGGAGAAAAGGCTGCTGCATGTTTATTCTGCAGAGAAAAATCCCTGAATTTGGTTCCTTCTGGAATTTGTCTTCTTTTCTGTCATAATGTTTTTTCCCTGTCACCAGAACTCAACAGAATCTATTTAGACTCTTCACATGTGGTCCGTTAACCCCCCTATAAGACTAGATCATTTTGTCGTTGTCTTGAATAGTTTATGGGAATAGAACGTATCAATGCAGCCTCCATATGATCCTATAATGTTAGGGGAGTGTGGCCAATTGTCTGCTGTTCTCATTTTTCTGTTAGTTCTGTGGAAAGCTAGAAATCACCCTCTGATCCAAGGCATGCAACTGGAATTTAAATTTTGGAACTGGATCTAGTCAGAATCAAAGAGAATTAATTCCATAATAATTAAGTGGGTATTGGTATTCCTTCTCAGTAAGCAATACTGGAGCTTGGTGCTGAGACAGGAGGCCTAGAGGGAATGATGTGTCTCCAGGGGTGGCCATAGTTTCCAGTGGATGGTCCTTCCATTACCAAGCTATGCCTCACCTCTAATGGATCAACCACGGGGCTTCCATGAACTCAGGAAAGTACTCTGTGCTCTAAAAAGGGCTGGAATCCAAGTTTCCCCCTTTGGCTAAAGCTGAAACAAAAACAGGAACTTCTCCACCCACCTCTGTCTGCCTCAGGTAGCTGAGGTTTTGGAAATGAGTTAATTGTTTTTCAGTCTTTGGAAGATCCTGATCACCATTTTACCCAGCCCTCTCCAAAATAAACACACCTGGTCCTGCTGCAGGTCTTCCGAGGCACAGCCCTGGACTTGGCTTTGGCTGGTCTCTGACTGCCTGAGAGACGACTTGGATACCCTTGCCCCCAAATAGCACAGACATGCAATAGAATGTCCTCGTATGGGCCCTGTGATGGGCAGAGCCCGGCGCTGGGGTATGAAATTCTCATAGCTTAATCCTCAGCCCCTAGAACAGAGCCTGGCAAATGGTGGGAACTCAACAGGTTAATATGTTTGTGGAGTAAGATGAGTGTGCCTCACACTGCTCCAGTTTGCAAGCCAGGTGTCACTCGTCTCTCTCCCTTGACCTTCAACCCAGACCGCAGGGCTTCTTCCTGAGATTTTGCAGTTCGATTCCACCAGTTTTTTGAACTGTCTGCGTGGGCGGGGGGTGGGGGGAGGCTGGTTTACAAAGGTAAAGAAGATAAGACCTACCAAGTACTGAGTAGTTAAAAGGTTGTGGGCCTGGCTTCAAATCCTGCCTTCTCCATGTCCTTCTGATAGTTGGAAGTCACTTAGCCTCTCTCAGCCTCAGCTCCTCATTATAAATGGGTAATAGTATCTATGTCAAAGGACTGTGGTAAAAAATGAAACAACACACTGAGCACAATGTTTGGCACCTAGTAAGCATTCAATACAAGATACTATACTAATAATAACTATAATAGTCATTGAACTCATGCCAGGCACTATTCTAGGCACGGAGGATAGAGGAGTGAATAAGAAAAGGACAATCCTACAATATACATGTAAACTTTAAAGAGAACAATTCAAGTAATGACAAGTGTTATGAAAGAATGAGACATAGTGATACCATAGATGACTAGAACGTGTGTAGGGGCAAAGGAGACTGTATTTGTGGTGTCAAAGAATGTCCCCCTCCCCCACCCAAGGAGGGGATATTTGAACTGAGACCTGGATGGCAAGGAGAAGCTAGCCAGTGAAGAGTCAAGGGAAGGGCATTCCAGACAGAAGGAAGAGCTAATCCAAAATCTAGAGGTGGGAATGAGCTTGGTACGTTCCAGGGGTGGAGACGAGGCCAGCATGGTTGGAGTGACCTGAGGACTCTGTGGCAGGAAGTGGGGCTGCAGATGCAGGCAGGGTCTTGGTTACGTAGGGCCATGAAGATCATAAGGATGAGTTTAGATGTTCTTATGAGTTATTGGAAGCCTCTGAAGGAGTTTAAGTCCAGGAGTGACATTATCTGATTTATATTTAAGACAATCATTCTGGCTGCCCCGTGAAAAATAGAATGTGGGGGAAAGAGTGAAAGCAGGGACGTGGATCAGGAAGCTATGGTCATGATCCAGGCCACAGATGATGGTGTCTTGGACTAGGGTGACAGTGCAAACCTGGAGAAAAGAGCAGATATGGGTCTATTTTTGAACTAGAGCACAGGGAAGTGGGAGAGTATGTGGAGAAACAGAGGCCACACAAGAATGATCCTAGGTTTCTGGCCTGAGAGGCTGGGTGGATTTTTGGAGATGAAGGAGAGGAACAGGTTTTGGGAAACATATCAAAGAGAACTCTTGTACAGGCAGGCTAGAATATAGCACAGTGACAGTACCAAGTGCACTGGGAGGCAGGCGAGAGCGTGGCTAACTCTGGAGCTGCGGGGAATGTGGGACGGCTAGATGCAGGATGGGATTGGAACTGAGCTTTGAAGGACTGGACTTGGGAGGGCTGCTGGTTCAGGGAAAGGAGTGGTTTGAGCATAAGTCTGGGCATGAACAGGTGCCATACGCTCATTTTTTCAGATCTCTTTACATACTGGTTTCTGACAGCTGAGGAAACTGAGACTCAGAAGTTAAATCACTTGCCCAAGGTCATAGAGTTAGCAAGTGGTAAAATCAAGATCCCCATTCCAAAGAAAGGGGGCTGAATGGTGGAACTGAACACAGGAGTACAGAGCAGCAGACAGGGACCGTAAGACAGGATTGAAAAAGTGAAGGTTGGGCCAAATTGTGAAGGGCCTGGGGTGACAATGCAGAGGCTGGGCCTTATTTTGCAGGTGTAGATGAAGAGGAGCCATTGTAGGCTCTCCCGTGGGCAAGCAGCATGATCAGCACCGTGATTTTGGAGTGCCTGGTGTTGACTGAAAAAAATGCACAACTTGAGAGTTGTGAGTTAAGTTTTATTCGGGGCAAAATGAGGACTACAGCCCAGGAGACGGCATTTCAGATAGATCTGAAAAACTGCTCCAAAGAGATTGGGGGGAAGATCAGTATATATGTGATTTTGGTGAAGGGGGAGTACACATAGCCAAGCACATATTTTTTGCAGAAGGTTACTGCTAGTCATGAGGGGAAGATGTCACCATGGAGGATTTTACTGCTTTTCTAGATACGAGGAGATGAAGAATTGGGCTCATAAAATCGTCTCCTGAAAATATCTATCTGAAAACCCGTTCTGCCAGTTTTTCCCAGAGCACAGAGTGCCTCATTCCTGATCTCCACTCTGAACTCCTCTCAGGGGGTGTTGAAGGTCAGCAGCTACAGCAGCTCTTAATTTGATCCTTGTAGAGGTAGATGGCAAGTGCCAATCTGTAGGTGACACTGGCGAGATGGTTAGATGGGCCAGAATGGAAAGCACCTCATAACACTATTAATTAATTTTTAAAAAATACAGGTCCTGGAGATATAATGACAAGCAAAACCTGACACAATCTGTGCCCGCATGTAAGAACTAACAAATTAAATAAGCATGCAAACAAGTGGAGAGCCTGAACCATGAACAGGCAAGTACATGACTATGAGGTCACTTAGTAACCAGGATTTTACTTACTTTGGCACCAGTCCTCAAGACTTCCCTGAGAACTGGGACATTCACTGACCCCAGTTCTAGGTTACACTCTGCCCCTAACCCATACTGAACGAGGGCAAGTCACTGCTTCTCTGGACCTCAGTTTCCCCATTTATGAAAGAAGGGGCCCTAGATGATCTAATTTCCCTCCCATTCTGACGGTTTGGAATTTTCCTGTCCAAACACCATAGATCCCACTCCAAAGCTGCTAACTGACACGTGGTGCCTGACATTCTTGCCCTTGCCTCTAGCCTTCCCCGGAGGCCTCCATCTGTTCCCCGTCGTCACGGTAACCCCCTGGGCCTTCCTCAGCTGGAAACTTTGAGTGACGACAGCAACTACGCCACTATCATGCGTCCCATTTGCCAGGTTAAAACATGGCCACCACTGCAACACACCACCCAAGCTTCGCCCTAAATACCCGGGCCCGACCAGCCCTGGAGCCTACTCTAGGGCAGGAAAGAGAGGAACAGGTGCGCCAGTACAGCGAAGAAGATTTCTGGGAACGTCTCCGAATCCCTAGCTTCTCTGGCGTCTCTGGGAGGCACCAAATCGCCGCCTTATAGCGTCACTTCCGTCGACCCATGCGCCTAGGATTGATAGTTGCGGACATCCAATCAGAATAGGTCCCGCCCCCACGCCCAGGAGGAGGCGGGTTTGAGACGGAAAGTCCCGCCCCACGGCGACGTGAGACGTCAGAGTCGCCATGGCCAGCTACCCGTACGGGCAGGTGAGTGTGTGAGGGGCGGGCGAATCCAAGTGGGTGCCTCGCCAAGTCCAGGCCCGGGATCCCCTGCTTCTCTTTCTCCCCGCCTCCTCCGCGCCTTTCCCACGCTGAGGTTGGCTTCAACGAGGTTTCGCGCAGGAGAGAAGGGAAAAGGGATGGTCGGTCGCGCCTGGCTCACGTCACGCAGGACTGCACGTCTGGGAGGTCGTGTCGCGCCCCCTTTGACGTCGTGCACGGGAAGATTTGGGGTTCTTGGACCCCACAGAGTCAGACTGGGCTTGGCCTGGGCCCCATATTTTCCCAGGATCCCGCTGGGGCCGCAGGCGGGGTCATCAACGCCAACAGAACGTTTAGAGCGCTGGTTCTGTCGGTATCTTTTGGGGAGTTGATAAAAATACACCCTTGACGTACTGCATCTGAATAATCAGGAGAACCTGTGGGTTTAGCAGGCTGCGCAAACGAGCTTGTTCGACTACTGACTGAGTCCAACACTTCCATTTCACACACAGGAAAGCGAAACCCAAGGAGACATGGAATTTATTTGAAGTCACCAGGCAGTTAGGCAGCAGAGCCCGGAGCTGTCAGCAAATGCCTTTTCCCCACTTGCCAGCCCATCTTGATCCAGGCAAGAACACCACAGCAAGGCGATTCTGTGGCCAGAATCCGTTGTTGGCTAACAAGAGCGTTAGAGTAGTGAAGTGCAGTCTGGAGTCAGAGGAAGGTTCACACCTTGGCTCCATCACTTAAATAGTTTTGAGCCATTGAGCCCTTTCTGAGCTGAAGTTTCCTCTTCTGTAAAATAGGGCCAAATGATAGGATCTACTTCATAGAGCTGTTATGAAGAGTAATGAAGTGATGCTTGTAAAGCATTTGGTACTGTGAAGAGTGTGACAGGTGTTACCTTTTAGTATTTTGATTTTTACTAGATTCCTTGAAGGCCAGTGCTGGAAGGGTCCTCAGAAGAGTCCCTTCGTTTTAGCTCAGAGAGGGCTCCTGAGTTGCCTAAGATCACACTAATTTAGGAGATAAAACCCATGCAGGAAAAATTGGAAAACAAGGTCACATGGGATATTGCTAAGCGCTGGGCTGAGTGTAATCACATATCAGAAGATGTGGCAAGAGCCCTCGTAGGGAGTGCAGCCCTGTACAGTTTTTGCACACAGTATTTAGACAGCCGTTATCTCAATCATGAAGGCTCTGTAAGCAGGCTAGCAGGGATTATTCCCCCAATTTATAGCTGAGGAATAAGCCCAAAGAGGTTAAGTGGCTTGCCCAAGGTCACACATAGCAAGTGAGGGAGTGCCCATGCTAGAACTTAGAGTTTCTATCATTGCATACTTAGCAGAGGTAGGAAGGAGAGGCCAGCCTGGGCTGGGGTTAGGAGGAAGTATAACCTGGCAGTGTTTCCCAAGCTCAGTTGCATTTGCTGAGGCTTGTGAATGTTAATAAGTATTGCTAATAAAGGAGTATTCTGTGGTTAAATAAGGTTGGGAAATACACTGTTAAATACAGCTTAATGAGTTTTGTTAACCTGTAAACCACAGGCCATCTCAGAATTCTTAATTTGTTAATAGACATTGTAAATTTGCCAGAGAGGGATAGAATATGAAGTGTTTCTTAAACTTACTTAACTATGGAACCCCCCACCCCACTTACATGACATAAGTCTGGTCATATGTTGGTGACACTGGTATTCTTGAGGAACACAGTTTGGGAAAACATTGCCATAGTACATTGTTTCTCAGTGGATGGTCTATATCAGAATCACCTAGGAGCTTGTTAAAAAAGCACATTTTGGGGTTCCACCTCAGACCTGTACCCAGGAAAGGCCCAAGCATCTACATTTTAATAAGCTTCTGGAGACAATTTGTATGCATCCTAGAAGCAGTGACTTGGAAATTGAGCCTGAACTTCCAGGTTAGACAGAACTGGGCTAGAATCCTAATTCTATTTAATAGTTATACGCCCTTGGACAAATCATCTAAGGGCTCTGAGCCTCGGTTTCTTCACTTGTAAAGAGGGAGGAATAGTACTTCATAGGGCTGAAAAGAGGATGAAATATGATAAAGCCTGTAGGGAGCTTGGCACATTGCTGATACCTAGCGTGTGCCAGAGCGTGCTGGCATAGCTCTTGCTGCTGTGGTCACTGTTATCATGCCGTGCTGCCTGGGCTTATGCTCAGTGAAATATTGAAAAGGAGCACAGAGGGGAATGTGTCTCTAGTAGAGGAAGAAATGCTTGTCTCCCATCATACCTTCTTCGTTCCTCCTATCCAGCTCCTGGTCCACAGTGTTCCAAGAAAAGAAGTGGGTTGTCTGAAAGCATCCAAAGGCTTAGTCAGTGCTGCCTCCCCTCCACCCAGTACATAGCCCTGGAGGATTCCAGCCTCTTGTTAGGAGTCAAAACTCCTGTAATTTTCTGCTGCATCCTGCCCCAGGGTCCTCAAGCATGGACTGGGTGTTGGAGGAGTAAAACTCAAGTACCCTTTGGTGCTGTGGGGGAGCCAGCCTGATGGATTTCAGTGCTTAAGAGCTTGGTCTCTGAGGCCAGATAGATTTGGCTTCAAATCCTTGCTCTGCCATTTCCTTGCAGAAATTTCTTGCAGAAGTCTGAGGCTCGGTTTCCCCCTTTTTAAAAATGGGGTGATGAGAGTACCTACCTCAAGGGTTACTGCAAAGATTAAATGAGATAATCCACATAAAGTGCTTGATATGGTGTTTGGCATGTAGTAAATACTCCAAGGGGAAGAGTGATACAGACACGTAAATTGTAGAATCTGTGCGATGAGCATTAAATGGGAATAAGTGTCAGGCTAGCACAGGAGGGACCCCTAGCTTAGTCTTGAGGGAAGGAAGTCTTGTTAAAGGAGGTGACATTTAAGCCAAAAACCGAATCTCCAGTAGGAGTTAGCTGGGTGAAGAAAGGCATGGTATTCCAGTGGAGGGAATAGTATTCACAAAGGCCAGGAAGCAAGTAAGAGAGCCCAGTATTTTGGAAGAGTTTAAGGAGATCAGTCTAGTTGCAGTGAAGAGGAGGGGGGGAAAGGGTAACAAGACCAGAAAGGCAAGCAAGGACCAGATCCTAAAGGGCATTATGTGCCTTTTTGAGGAGTGTGGACTTCATCCTGAGAGTTGTTGGGGAGCTCCTGAAGAGTTTTCTCCCATTCGTGCTTTGAGCTGTGACCGTGGGGCACTGTCAGGGGGTGTTGAAGCAAGAGAGACAAGGCAGGGAGACCAGTTTCAAAGCTGTTGAAGTAATCGAGGTGAGAGAACAGTGACCTGGTGAACATGGAGCTGGGAGGTAGAAGTGAGAAAACTTGGTGCCTAATGGAGGTGACGGAGGAGAGGAAAGAGGAGGTGTCCAGGAGGGCATCAGGGTTTCCCTTCACTGCAGTGGGAGCACAGAAGGAGGAATAGATTTGGACGGGAGGTCCAGGAGGTTGTTGGATATGAGGTCTGCAGCTCATGAGAGTTGAAGCTGGAGAGAAAGATTTTGGAGTGTCAGCACAGAGGTGGTAATTGAAGTCTTGGGACAGTTCTTGGCTCGCTGTTTATTGGCTGCAGATTTCTGACCTTTAAATATTTTAGGAGGTTCTGCTGGTGAATGCCCAAACCACTCCTTCTGTAGTCTTGTGATTGTTTAACCCCTTAGAATGGGCTCTAACCTCCTCCAGCGGGCTGGGGGTTAGCTCCAGAGCACAGGCTTGTGTTTGCAACACGGCCTTGTGTTTGAAACACAGGCTTGTGTTTCCCCTCAGTACTCAGCGTGGACCAACCTTGGACACCTCTGGGCTTCACAAGGGTCTTGGGGTAGAAGAATGAGCCCTCAGAGCCAAAAGAAAATGTAAGACTTTCTGAGTGGGTTATTTGGGAGGGGGTGAACTCCCCACCACTTGCAGGAATGTAAACAGAGATTCCAGATGGTGCTGCAGAGATTCCATCATCGACTGAGAGGTTGGACTGGGAGGTCTTTGGGGTCTCTTACAATACTGTGGCTCTCGAATTGGGTCTAGGTGCGGGGGTGAAAACAGAATAAGATTCTTCTGAGTCTCCCTAATTTCTGGGCTTGAAGCCTCTGAAAGATTACCTAATCCAACCCTTTCCCCTTCAACCCCTTCCACTGTAGAAATCCATCATATCTGACACATATATTTAGGACAGTCTCTGGCACTAGCACATGGTAGACACTCACTCATTTATTGGTGAACACCCAGAAGAGGGTAGAGTGGTGGAGTCATGCAGACCCTGTTTTGAAGCTTACCAGTTCTAGCTGCGTCATCACAGGCACATGATTAAACTCTGCACCTTAATTTTCTCATCTGTAAAATGGGGACATAGCACTTACCTCATAGGACTGAGGATCAGTGAGAGCCTTAATAAAATGTTAATTGCCCCTTCCCCCCACCCAAATTTATCAAATGTAATTTATTTGCAATCAGTAAAGACCTAGGGTTAGTTTTCTGTAATGTTTTGCAAACCATGATTGCTGAACTCTTCGTTTTTTTTTTTTTTTTTTTTTTTTGACATTCTTGTGTTTATCAGCTTGAAATGCTCTTGGAAAAACTCTTCAGAGGGTTGGCAAATGGCATGGAGTAATATAAAAGAACATGGAATCAGGGACTCTGGTTTTCATTTCTGGTTCAGACATTTACTAACAACTCAGTGTCCCTGGGAACCCTCTTCCCCAGCCTGGATTCTTGTGGTTTTACTTTCTTCGTCCTCTGGTGCAAGCTAGAAACCTGAGTCATTCTAAACACTTCCCTTTCCTCACTGCCCCCTCCATCGCTTCTCTAACCTAATTAGTTGCCAAGTCATGTCTAGTCTATCTCTGAAATAGCTTCAGAATCCATCCCGTTCTCTCTGAGTCTGCTGTCTGGTTCAAGCCCTGCCTGTCCAGCACCTGGGCTGCCGCCTCCCCCACTAGTTCATCCTTCACGCCCGATGCTGCTTAGTTCTCTAAACAAGGCCCGATCACATTTCTTCCCTGTTGGAAACCCTTCTGTAGCGCTCTGTTTCCTCCAGCATAAAGCTCCAAATCTTTTGAGTGGTATTCATTTGTTCACATTTTTATGGTGGCTTGCCGGTGCCAGGCTCTGTGCTGGACCCTGGGCTACCGTGATGAATGAGGCCCACTGTCTGCCCCTGGGGAGCTCACTGTTGTGTGACAGAGAGAAACTGCTCTAAGATGCATCAGCTAACTGAAATGCAGCAGGACAGGTGATAAGACAAGGAGCATGTAAAGAGCTTGCCTTTCTGAGTTCACTCTGCGTTCTTGCCCCAGCCCCCTGCTTTTTAGCCCACTCCCTGACTACTCCATCCTCGCTCATAGGTCTGTGCGTTTGTCTTTCTTCTTCCATCTGGAATGTCCTTTACTGCCTTCCTTTTGGAGAATGCCTGTGCATCCTTCAGTGCCAGTTCCAGTATTACTCCTGCCTCTTCCAGGAAGCCTTCCTTGACCCACTGCCTACATGTGTTCATTTGATTGCTCACTTATCATTTGACAAACAGAACCAATTCCTCTGCCCATGCCTTCTTAATAGCATTTAAGTAGATTTTTCTGATGACACTGATCAGATTGTATCATAATTATCTGGGGCTCCTCAAGGCCAGGCCCTGTTTAGTTTTGTGCCCCCAGGCCTAGCACAGAGCCTAACACAACATTGTTGCTCTGTAAATGCTTGCTGAATGAATGAAGTCTTTTAACAGTTGTGCACCTCAGTTTCTTCATCTGAAAATAGGCCTACTAATACCTTCCTTTTTTCTGTTGGAGGATTGTTGGCAGAATTTTGCCAGTAGCATTTGTATGTATGTGAAAGTGCTTTGTAAACTGTACACGTAAGGGCTTTAATGCAGGGCAGAAAGGAAAGGGTTTAGTTGTGGCCAGGCTGCACCAGACCCCTGGATTGTGATAGGACCAAGGTCAGAAGACCGGCCGGCAGCACTAGCTTGGTTGTCGTGGGGTCGTTTCCTGGGGGAAGGGCTGTGCCTCAGGTGTCCTTAGCCAGGAACTGTTGATGGCTTTGCTCCCACGACTTCTTGTGGAGCAGCAACTTCCTGGCTTGGTGTCCAGCCTGTTCTTCGGGTGTGCCCAGACTCTGCAGAGTCCCCATCCCCTTTTCTAGCCTACACTGGAATCCTGTGCCCTATCACTTAAGGAAAGAGCACCGTGGCAGGAGATGGTGGGAGTCAGTGGACTGGGATGTGGACGGGGAGTGATCTGCCTCTGCCTTCAGCTCACAGTGTTTCTTAAGCCAGTCTCTTCCCCTCACCTGGCCTTAGTTTCCTGTCTGTAAACTGAAGGGGTTAGGTTGAAGAGGTCTTCTGGGCACCTCTCCCATCACACCTCTCCAGCTCCCTTGGGAGTCTTTATTATTCTTTAAGTCCTAATCCAAATGCTGCTCTCTCCTGGAAACCCTCCCCGATCTCACTCTCCTTTGTGGTCCCATGGCACATGGCTTATGTGTCCATTTTAAACACCTGTTTCCTTATGCTGTTTTGTTAAATGTTACAGAGTGTGTTTCAGTGCCTCTCCTATTAACTGAGCTCCTTTGAACATTTCACTCTCCTTTATACACACCCCCCGCCCCAAGAGTTTACCTGGCCCAGGGCTTTGCTGATAGTAATAATAATAATTAATATAACAGTAGAGCTATGATTTATGCTGGACGCTGTTGTAAGAACTGTTTCTTGTATTAATGGTTTTCAAACTGCCTTTTGAATCACTGGGGGGCTTCTGCAGGGCTCACTCACAGCCTAGCAAGGGAGGGGCCTATGTGGTCAGGGCTCTGGGACCCCCACCTCCAACCAGAGCAACTTTCTCTTGCCAGTTTTTAAATATTTTTATTCATCAAAAGGTTCTTTAGGGAATTCCCTGGTGGTCCAGTGGTTAGGATTTGGCGCTTTCACTGCCATAGCCCGGGTTCAGTCCCTGGTTGGGGAACTAACATCCTGCAAGCCGCGTGGCCAAAGGCGGGGGGCAAAAAAAAAAAAGGGGGGGGGGATGGGGTTCTTTAGCTAAAAATTTAACTAACAAAATTCTGCTGTATACATTTCTTGTAATCTGCAGAACAATTCAGTGAGGCAGGGATTATTACATTTTACTTGTGAGGAAACAGGCCACTGATCCATGGTCATGAGCTCAGCTGATGAGAGCAGAGTTTTGAATTGAGATTTGCCTGTGACTTCATTATCTGTGAAGCAGTCTTGCTACGAGCTGTGGCAGCTTCCAGGGCAGAAGAGCATCCACGATGCTGAGTGGGGAAGGTGGAAGGGCGTGCTTCCTGCCCTGCCTCAAGAAGCCCCTCCTCCCCGAGCAAGCAGACTCTCTTGAGATGAAGTGTGACTTTGGCCTTAGCCTTGAGGGTAACTGTCCTGGAAGCTATCAAACACAATTAAAAGAGGAAATCCAGGCTCGTACTGGCTAGGCCACTGGTGTGCCTTACAGGTTGATCTAAAACGTGTCCAGATGGTACCATCCTCACAATGCTCGGAGCTGGGCGCAGTTGCTCTCTGTGCCCTTGAGCTCACTGCAGATGTGTTGAGGCTGTGGTCCACTAGGCAATTTAGGGAGATGGAGCCGAACACTCTGAGCCTCAGGGGTCCCTGGCTAGTGGCGTGGGGACAGGGACAAGAGAGGGAGGAGTGCTCCCATGTATGCTCTACTGTTTACATGGCCTGGGCTTAGGAGCCAGGAGACCTGGATTCTGGCCCCAGCCCCTCCACATGGTTGTTGTGTGATTTTTCTGGACTTGAGTTTCCTCCTCCATAGAAGAGTCCTACTATTAATAGTTACTGTGTATTGAGTGCTTACTTTGTGTGAGGGCCTGTGTCAGAGCCCTTTACGTGACTGGCCTCATTTCATTCACATACTAACCTGGAGGTAGGCAGGCACTCTTAGAGCCAAGGATATTTAGGCTTAGAGAGGGTAAGTCATTAGACCAGTTAGTAAGTGGCAGACCGCAAGCTTGAACTGGTCTTTTTCACTCTTAACCATGGGCCTATATTGCCTTAGGAATAGGGTCTTGCCTACCTGTCTCACAGAGCCATGAATGAGGCTGGGGAAATGGTTTTGCATCATGAGCTAGAGCACGGTAAGGAAGACATGCTGTGGATGAATCCGTGCTATAGATACATCATTTGTGACTGACGAGAGTCAGGGGCATGGGCTGGAGATCACATTTGCTCTGTGAATTCTGCAGATAGAGATGGGGGTACCACAGGGTGTGGATTTGGAATTCAGTTTGATTAATTTGCCCGCTCATTCATACAGTAAATATTTATTGAGCATCTGTTCTGCACTGGGGGCTGGGGATAAAGGGATAAAGTGGCAAACCAGACATGATACCAGCCCTTGTGGATACCCTTGGTGTGCAGGGAAGGGCAGCCAGGAGGGCAGGTTTCCAGCCCTACCTCTGCAGGTCAGTGGCAATGTGACCTTGGGTAAGTTGTATCTCCTCCAGAAGCCTCAGGTTCCCCATCTGAGCAATGGGGTCATGATTCCAGTCCAGTTCAGCCCATAGGATCAGTTGAAATAAAGGCAGTGGCAGTGCCTTATAACTGTAAAGTTCCATACTGTGGCTAGTTTCTGGCCCTGTCATTCTGACTGATATCTTGCTCTTCTTGCAGGGCTGCCCAGGAGCTGGAGGACAAGCACCCGGAGCCCCTCCGGGTAGCTACTACCCCGGACTGCCCCATGCTGGAGGGCAGTATGCTAGCGGGGTACCCCCTGGTGGCGGATATGGAGGTCCTGCCCCTGGAGGGCCTTACGGACCACCAGCTGGTGGAGGGCCCTATGCACACCCCAACCCTGGGGGGCTCCCTTCTGGAACTCCGGGAGGACCGTATGGTGGTGCGGCCCCAGGGGGCCCCTATGGACCACCACCTCCAAATTCCTATGGTGCCCAGCATCCCGGGCCTTATGGACAGGGAACACCTCCTCCAGGTAAGTAGGGATCTTGGACTCCAGGTGCCTCTGACCTTGTTCTGAGTTATCCGGGGCCCTTCCTTGCCCTCCTTGTGGATGTGTAGGCAGCCTGGTCTCCGGCACCTTAGCATCTTGTCTCTAGCTTAGCTTGCATTAGCAGAATGAGAAGTCTGTTAGTTAGCTTTGCTGTGGTAACAACTCCTAAATCTCTGGCTTACAATGGCAAATGTTTATTTCTGTTCCTTGCTCACACTTATTTACTCTTGGTTACATGTCGGCAGCTGCAGGCTTGGCTGCTGAGGTTCTGCTCCACGTGTCTTTTCTTTCCAGGATCCAGGCTGGAGGAGCAGCCCCTATTTGGGATATACTGTTTGTGTGGCAGACAAAAAGAGCAGGAGGACTAGCAGGAAT